TAAAGAGAAAAAAAAGTAAAAAAAAAAAAAACAAAAAAAAAAAACAAAAAACAAATCTCAACGAATTCCTGTTCAAAGAAATAAAGGTGTGACTTTAATGGCTGCATCAAACCAGTGCAGCAGAACAAAAAAGGAGCCTTTATAATCCGCAGAAGTTCTAGAATTTTTATAAGACAGGAAAAAACAAGTAACTCCAGATAAACTTACTTACTCATTGCCTGGACAAAGGAGGGGTCACCAGACTGGCAACATCATGTGTTAAAGGTTAAGTCTAGCCAACAACCTAACAATGGTAAAAACCCAACACTCCCTGGTTCCCAACCTGGGTAAGGCTAAGGGAAGAGGAGACAAAGGCCAAGTCCTCCCCAGCTCACAAGCACCCTGCTCTGCTCCTTTCTCAGGCACCTGAAGAAAGGGAGAACAGGCCAGCCCCTCAGACCTCAGGCCGTCACAGGCACCCAAGGACGGACAGTGGAGCCGCTGTGAACTGCACCTCGTCCTAAGGCACTCATCTTGGCAGCTGATATAGAGTATAGCCCTGATTTAGTGACTGCTATGTTAGAGCGCAGGCCTCTGTCAGCTGCGGTCAGAACAGGACCCAACTACCAGGGATGTACTTTAAAACAATACCCACCTCTCAGGACCCAGAATTAACCACCACCAGTCAGTTCCTTCACTTCCTGCTTTCCCTAGTTGCCATAACACTTGGTATCTTTTATATTCAGTTTTTCCACTTAGCACCATGTCCCAACTTTACACTGTTCTGTAAGGCTATAAGCTAGGGTTCTTACGCACCTCCCCAGTCACCTGTTTCTGACTTTGCCCTCCCATAGATAACATGCGCATGCCATCTTCATTCCAGGCCTCTCAACACTGGAGCATTGCAATTCGCAATGTTAAAGCTTTTCAGACAGTTGCGCTGACTTTGCCTTCAGTGAGCACTACATCCCCTGCATCCTCACCGGGACTAAATGCATCACAAATATAATAAGCAAAACTCTTATCTCAATATTAAAATGTTCACTTGACTAAAAACTACAGCAAATGGCTTGATGGGCTAATATAAGCTGAATCCACTCTTCAGAGTCATCTGCTAAGGTTTCTGCTATCGTTTTCTTATTCAGCTATATGAAAATCCTTAAGACTACAAAGCTAAGTGAATTTTTGTCATCTAATTTCAATTATTTTCCATATTCAAGGTTTAAGTATCTGTATTTCTCTAAATTACGTATGTATGTATATTTTATGGTTAGACAATGGTAAGTGTGCTAGAAGTTGATTATCAAATATCGTCAGTTTAGCACAAGGGTTCTATGGAACTGGTTAACAAACAGGTCACAGGTCCAAGCGCACGAGCGCTCAGAACCATCATAGACAATAACCATGCTTACCTGAGAAAGGCAGGCAGTGAGTCCAAAAAAAATCTGACAGGACTCTGGAGAGAAACCATTGACTCTGTCGGACAGTTATTAAGATTGCAATGAAGTAAGATGAGCACAGCTGGAACTTCACTAACACAAGCCCTGCCTGCCCTCTAGGGCAGGCGCTGCCACCTCCCTCCCGCTCGGAGCATCTGGAAAGTGAGACAGGCTGAAGATGACCAGAGACTGCAGAGCAGATGAGAGTGAAGCATGAGAGGAAGCGAGCCACTGTCAGCAAAGGACGCCACAAAATCCAATATTCTGTCCACAGCATCACTAGATGGACAGTGTGTCCATAGGAAACATTCCTGACCACTGTCTAACTACACACCAAGCAGATACACAGGATCAGACACACAAACACACACCCTAAGAAGCAACGTGCAGAGGACGTCAAAGGCAGCACCACAGCTGTGCTTGTCCTCTTTTAGAACAGACTGTGTGCTCTAAAGTCCGGCAGAACAACTCAGAGCCCTAGAATCCCTAGAATTCCCAAGACCATGCCTCGTTCTACGGTAGACTGGACCATTCATCTGACTTCTGAGATCGTCAAGCACTGACAGAGCAGTTCTCCTGGAGACACGCAGTCTTCAACACAATGGAGTGTCCAGAGTTCCAAACAGGCGGAAAGGACCCACTGAGATAGGTGGGTCAGGAACAGAGTAAACTGCAATTGCTGTTAATCCCTTACAGATCCACTGACAAACCCTAAATGTGGGCCGTTCCTGCCCATAATAAATGGAGACTCCAGCACAATAGCCTCTGATCTATCAGTCAAGGCCTTTCTACTTTGCCATCAACAAATCTGAGTGACTATCAACCGATCTTGAGCCCTCATTCTGGTCCTTTAGGTTTCTCTATGGACAGATAGGCAAGAGCTTAAATAACCTTCCTGAGGAAGACTGGTGAAGAGAAAAGGTCCAGAAAAGACACCACAGATAGAATACTTGACTCCATCCCAGAAAGGGATCCACTTTCCTGAGATTGGTTTGTCTGTTTGAAACCTGGGCTTATAAAGATAAAAAACAAACAAACAAAAAAACAAAAACAAAAACCTTCACTCTTTGGACTTGGAATGAAGAATGAGAATTTCTGAGCCAGAACTGCATCCTCCAAGAAGAGTTGCTGAGAAAGGAAGGTTTGAGCATCTGAGGCCCTGGGGAGTGTCTCGGCTGAGTCCCTCTGCTGTATGGCACAGCCGTAAAATGAAGTGTCTGAATGATGGTGCCCATCCCCAGGTGCCCAGCCTGAACTTTAGTGTGCTTCCTGGATGGCAGGAATTATTTCCAAAGTCAAGCTCTGCTTGGACTGCCTCTCCAGTGAAGCTTTATCCTGACAGAGTAAACCAGAAGCCAACAGGAAGAAACAGAAATGGTGAGGAATATCCCAGTTGGGACCAAGACAGGATCCTGGACAGTTATGAGGGAAAAATACGACGTGGCTGACACAGGTCAGGAGGAGACTATACACGGTAGAGTGAGTTCGCTTTTGGTTTTCACACAGGGTCTCATGTACTCAGGCTAGCCTTGAAACTCTCTTATAAAGCTAAGGATAACCTTTAACTATTGATCCTCTTGCCTCCACCTCCTGAGTCCTGGGATTATGGGCATACATCATCATGCCCAAATCATGCAATGTTGGGGACTGGGCCCAGGGCCTAAAAAAATTAAGATAGCCCTTTATTAACTGAGCTGCAACCTCCCCGCTCCAAGCCCCAGAGAATAAGGTCATCACCACTCTATTTTCACATACAAAGCAAGGGTTGAGTGGAGAGTATAGAATAATAAACCTGTCATAGGACCTAACTAACTAAAAAGAGGAATACTTATCAAACCAGGAACCTCCTTCTCGTGTTCTCTACGAGTCATGCATGATTTTCTCACCTGACTTCGAGTTCTAAAACTATTTTTTGTCTAAATAGACATTGTAAGACTGAAAAGAGCTGGAACTCTGGGTCCTCGGCACAACTGCTGATCACTGCTTTTTGATGCAGGTAATGACGAGGACCAGGTACATACCATTTCATACAGGATAGGAAAGAGCAGGGACAGAGGTGCAGAGGAGACGGCCAGTCCCATTCATGAGCCCACTAACTGGATGTATCTTAAACCCACAGCTATCCCCAGACTCTCACTCATGAGCCCACTAACTCAATGCATGTTAAACCCACAGTTATCCCCAGACTCTCTCACTCATGAGCCCACTAACTCAATGCATGTTAAACCCACAGCTATCCCCCAGCCTTGATGTAGAAAAGGATACGGCAGGAGAGCACCACACTGCACGGAGAGAGTCACCCAGGAAGGCTGAAAAAGAAAAAAATGACACGAATCAAAAACCATTCACAATCTGTGACAAAAATGGTATGACTTCACTAGTAGTTGCTTCTGGAAATTAAATGGCTCTGTTGTGACCCACTACAGATGTCCACCAGGGAGCAGCAACCAAAGATCATGTGCCCAGGCCACAAACCCCAGCCCCAGAATGACGCAGCCACTGCATTCCTTAGGCTTGTGACAGATCCCTCAGTTTAGGTCCACACCCTTACTGCTGCCCACCTCACCCACCAAGGAACAGACTAAATTCACAAGGTTTTGGTTTTACTTAAAACCAGGGATACACAATATTTGCAAGCCATTAAAGACAAACAAACAAACCTTTTCTAATCTTATGAATTCCAAACTTGCATTCTCTACAAGGTGAACTAAGAGCTGCCTTCCAGGTACTTTATATCCTTGGAAAATTAGCTTGCCTTGTACTTCTATTCAATTTTAAAAATTAGATCAAATGTTACTATTCTAATAACTCTATTTCAAGAAATGACAATCTGGAAGCCTAGCCATGGTGCCCGTTAGCCAGCTGACTTCGAGAAGCTTGGACAGACAAATCATATATACTCAATTGCTCATTACTGAGGCAGCACTGTAGTCAGCAAAATACATTCCAAATCTGTGCAGAAATGGTGCGAGGCTCGGGGCAGACAGTGAACATCAAGAATGCAGTCTCTGCTCTGCTGATTGGTAAGGCATACACTACAGTCAGGTCTACCTCGCTGATGTGAACTCAGAGAGTGCCCTACCTGGCATTTTTTCAACACATGTTAATTCTTTTTTTTCTTTTTTGATTTAGGTTGCACTCAAACTTGATATATAGCCAAGGTTGGTCTTGAATTTGTGACCATACTAGAATTTTAGGCCTAATCCACCATGCCTGGCTAAAGCCTGTTCTCTATGACAAGAATAGTATATACTTTACAAAATGAAGATTGCCTGTATCTGGGATAATTTCACCAGAGACATGAGCTGACTTACTGCATAGTACAGTGCTCAGGCAAAAGCCCTTGCCATTTCCTTGCATTAGCCAACACTGCTGCCTACTTTCTGATAATTCTAATTCCTATGAAATCTAGGTACTGAGTCAACATCAATGACCTGTACTGGACCAGGCACGGTGGTGCAAACCTGTATCCCTTGCAATGGATTTGGCAAGGTAAGAGGACAAGGCCTAGATCATATACCAAGATCATTTTGGAAACAAAACAAGTTTTGTGACTGACTCTTCCGAATCCAGAGCACCTCTCATGACCAAACTTTCTTCCTAACAGGGACACCCAGAAGGCATACATAAGAACCTGTGGAGCTACAACTGAGCTCACAGGAGTATTCCCTGAAACAGTACTGCCGGCTGTTATCAGTCTGCACCCAGAAAGCTGTCACACCCTGCAACAATGTACTATGAGAAATTTGGACTGGACAACAATGGTGGCACTTTTCTTCTGTTCAGTGGGAAGGGGCCACAGGAACCTAAAGTGCTCTCAGGCAGCTTTAGACAGTACCGGGTTTGGAAACGAACCCCTTTACATTACATCCACCCAGCTTCATAGCCCTAGAAAGTCTTCACAAAGGCTGAGTAGGGTTCCTCAACTTAAAGGCCACTTCCAAGTTCATTCCAAGCAGAGAAAGGTTACCTCTCCAAGCACCAGAGTAATTCAAAGCTGGGCCCACTGGTAAAGTAGAATGGAAAGAGGCTAGAGATGGCTCAGCTGTTAAGAGCACTGGCTGCTCTCCCACAAGACCGAGGTTTGATTCCCAGCACCCATATAATGGCTCATAACCATCTATAACTCTAGTACCTGGGAATTCAATGCCCTAATCTGGCCTCCACAAGAACCAGGTACATTCATGGTACAAAGACACACATGCACACAAAACACTCATAAAAATAAAATAATATAATTTTTAAAAAGTTAGTATCCAGGTTGTGGTGGTTTGAATTAAGAATGGCCCCATAGGGGGCTGGAGAGATGGCTCAGACGTTAAGAGCATTGCCTGCTCTTCCAAAGGTCCTGAGTTCAATTCCCAGCAACCACATGGTGGCTCACAACCATCTGTAATGGGGTCTGGTGCCCTCTTCTGGCCTGCAGGCAAACACACAGACAGAATATTGTGTATGTAATAAATAAATAAATGTTAAAAAATTTTAAAAAATAAATAAATAAAAAGAATGGCCCCATAGCACTCGGGAGGCAGAGGCAGGCAGATCTCTGTGAGTTTGAGGCCAGTCTGGTTTACAAGAGCTAGTTCCAGGATAGGCTCCAAAGCTACAGAGAAACCCTGTCTCAAAACAAAACAAAAAAAAGGCCCCCCATAATGCTCACATATTTCACATATTTGAATGTTTAGTCATCAGGAAGTGGCGCTATTTGGAAAGGATTAGGAGAGGCCTTGTCAGAGGAAGTGTGTCACTGTGGGTGGGCACTGAGGTTTCAAAAGCCTATGTTAGGCCCAGTTCTCTCATTTGGATCAGAATGTAGCCTTCAGTTACTTCTCCAGCACCTGCCTGCATGTCACCACGCTCCCCGCCATGGTGACAATGTACTAAACCTCTCAGACTATAAGCATGCCTCCAGAGGAACGACTGCCTTCATCAGTGTCTCTTCACAGCAAAAGTGACTAAGACAGAGAAGGCTAGGTAGGTCAAATAAGGTGCCTGCCCCTGGGAACTAGGCCTTAGCTACCCCAACCCCCACCCAAATCCATGTTCTAGCACCTGCATGGGATTAAGTATAGGCCTCAGCTCAGACTCAGAATACGGCAGGAAGTGCCCCCAAAGACTCAACTGCGTGCAGGCTGGCTCTCAGGTTAGCAGTTCCTGGCTAGCACAGGCACTGCCACGAACAAGTGGACTGAGATGCTGACAGGAGACGCCTGTTCAAGAACTACAGCCAAAGCAGGCAGAGTGGAACAGGGTACAGTCTGCCACAGTGGTAGCATGGCAGTTCTTAAAGACGGAGCAGCCACACTGTACACAGGCTCAGTCTAAAACTTTGTAATCACCATTCTGAAATGTCATCTTTGAACTGGACACTCCTCCTGCAGAACAAAGCTACCTGTCTGTCCTGCTGGCCATAGCTCACTGATCCTGTAGACAGTGGGATCTGGCAATTTCATTACTTTTTATCAGACACGTGTACCCAAGTACATCTCCCTTCTATTTTCCCTTGACATGTCAGCAGCTTCAGCAATCTATGTTTGTTTTTTTTCTTGGCACTGATGTTAGAACCTGAGGCTTCATATGTTCAGTAGTGCCCTGCCCCCAACCTACACCCGCAGTCCCTAAGTACGAATATACAAGTATTGTGTATGAGAGACGCACCTGACCATACACATGCCGAGGTCAGAGGAGGACATCGGGTGGCCTTCCTTCTCTATCACTCTCTGCCCTAGTCCTTGGAACAGTTTCTCACTAAACTTGAAATTGGCTGGTGACCAAGAAAACCCAGCAATCCTCCTGTCTCCATCCTCCCCTAGTGCTGGGGTCACAGATATACATGGTCACGCATAGCTTTCATGGATGCTACAGATCAGAACCCAGGTCCTGATGCAAGCAAGCTCTGTTACCCACTGAGTCACTCATCTCCACAGCTCTAATTATTAAATCATGTGATAAGCTATCTTACACATGAATTTTATCTCAGAGACTAAGGGGGTAACACAAATACTTATTGCAAAGGAAGTCTTGGGGTCAACTGTGTTAAGATTCATCACTTGGTCTGGCAACAGTGACCTAGGCCCAAACACATGTTTGTAAGGTAAGGCTTTTCCCTCTAAATCTGTATGAGACACACAACCACTTTACTAGAGTGACTAACAGAAAGTGAGCTCACAGAAAGGGCGGGCTGCGATGCAAACCAAAGAAGCCTGCCCTGGCGCATAGCCAGATGTCTGGCAAGCTTTAGCAAGAAGCAGCAGGTGAAGTGCCCACGAACCACACTGAGCACCAATCTTCAGAGACATAGTGGGCCTGAGCAAGCACGCATGCTATGCACAGACGTGACCACTGTATTTACTGCAACAAACAACCTCTCAGGTGGCAACTGTTTGACAACATGGGTCAAGAACCTCTCTGTGGGGCTGCAGAGATGGCTCAGCGGTTAAGAACATTGTCTGCTCTTCCAAAGATTCTGAGTTCAATTCCCAGCAACCACATGGTGGCTCACAACCATCTGTAATGAGATCTGGTGCCCTCCTCTGGACTGTAGACATACACACAGACAGAGTATTGTATACATAATAAATAAATAAATTTAAAAAAAAAAAAAAAAACCTCTCTGTGACTCCTGAGGCAGACCACCATTCAGGATCATTTTCAAAGACAAGTTGGCAAGCCTGCAAAATTTTCTAGACATGATGCCGGGAGGGTACCACACCCACTGCCAGCCACCCCTCAACACCTGATCTGACTCACTCACCTCACTCCTAACTGCTACTGTAGAACCACGGTCACTAAATTGTTGGCTTGGGAAAGTAAAGCACTGACCTGCATGAAGAGGGGTAATGGCAGCAGGTGAGGAACAAACTGAAGAGTCACACAAGGGTAATTCACGTTACACACATCCTGATTTGCCAGTCCCCACAGTACAAGATGCAGGTGAACAAAATGCTCACCAGCTGAAGCCCCACATTCTACAGACAAGCGCCCACAGGTCAGGCTGAAGAGCAGTCCAGGTGGCGAGCCAGTAGACTGACCCTTATGAGGGCAGTGAGCGGGGCAGAGGTCCCCTCCCTCCCTTCAGCTATCCAGCTGGAGATCAGGAATACCGGTCACCAGGGAAAGGACAGCTTTTAGAAGCTTCTGGAATCAAATATTCCTTCCTAAGATGTAAAGCACCTATCTGACGAGGCAGCAAAGCCACTTCCTGAGCTGGAGAGCTGGGAGGAAGCGAGAGCAAGGGAATACTCCTACACCACAGCAACCTGGCCGGTCATGGAACCACAAGTCCCCAAGTTAAGGCAGGAGACTACAGTTTCAGGGCTTCATTCACCTGATGACATCCCACTGCTGTGGAGACACATGACATAAGCAGAGGCTCGGACTTTCTACTGACCTTTACAACAGGCAAGTCGAAAACTTCCCTGGCTTCTCCCACCTCAGGGTTGTCCCCATCCTCTGAAATGATGTGAGAGGCCAGAGCATTGTAGGAGACTTCCTTGGCTTTCCCAGCTTTAAGAAGCTGAATAACCTAAGAAAAGAAAACAAACAATACAATTAATTTTAAAAGATATTGTATTGCCTTCCTGATCAAAGAAGTCATTATTAGCAATAACAGAAACATTTAATAAAAACACACCCTGTCCCCCAAAAGAAGCTCTCTCCTGAATGGAAAAAAAAAAAAACAATGAAATGCTTTTGGACAATAAAATGAAGGCAACCCTGATTCACAGTCCAAGTCATAGGGATGCAGTGGCCAGCTACTAGCCATCTGCTACACCAGGACACAACAGCACCTGCTGAGTTCCACAGAACCTGTTCTCGGTCTCCAACCCAAAGGCTGGGACTTGGCAGTTCACCACAGTCAGGAAACTTCTGGAGGCAGAGACCCACCAGGAGAATCCTGACTTGTGGGTGCCCATCAGGCAAAAGGCACACACTGAGGGAGGGCCCAGCAGGGGAGTTCAGATCACAATGGACAGTGTAGTCTTGTGTGCTATGTACCTTCCATAAATCATGGAAGGCTATCACAAAGGAAGAGGGTACCACCAGATCTTATAAAAGGACATCAACATAGAAATACATGGGTTGGCCATGTACCCAGACAGATTTGTGAAGACACAACTGTGACAAATTCTCACATCTGTCAGAGGCAGGTCACTAAAGAAATGTCAGAAGCAACAGAAGGAAAACAGGATAGAATTAACCAGGCAGTAACTAAACAGCATGCAAGCATAACAGAAAAGCCAAGATGGAAATGCTGGCATCTTCCAGAGTGACTGATTGGAAGCAGAGAGAAAGGGCACTGCTGGGCTTCGGTGTGGGTGTGGGCACACTACTCTTTGGTCCCACGTGACACCTAGTGAGAGACCTCCAGTTAAACCGAGAGAGGAGCCTGGCTCTCCAGAGATCATAACCAGCCGTAACAGATGGGAATCAAAGTTCTGAGAGTCACTGAGGCAGCCACCTGGATGCCAAAAGCATCCAGGACACATGGAGCTAACAGTAGCACCAGGGGTAGCAACCTGACGGCGAGTGCAGGCCGGAGTCAAGGAAGAGACAGAAAGCAGCCGTGTCTGGGACAGTCTATCATTTAAGAACGGGAGCAATGGGTAAGTGTGTATCTGAAGCAAGGAAAATCGGCAGTCACCAGCCACAAGCCACCTGGAACCCAAGTGTCTTTACTCTCTCCCTCCCCAACTTTGCTTTACATTCAGGAACATGCACACAGCAAGCCCTCCCCGGCTTTGTCCTTCCCAGGTGCCACTGCTTTCTTTTTGTGACAAATTTCCAGAAACAAGTCTTACTTTGCTGTCCTTTCTCTGTATTAGCTCTTCAGCTCCCTGCGGTGAAAACCGTCCCATCAAACTGTGGGTTTCAGATACCGAAGACACCAAACCTTCTTCCCAAACTGTACATTATCAGTTCTGTCTCACAGAAGCCACCTCGTAACTCCGCCTAGTGACCATCAGGACACGTGCCAAGTACATATAAATGCCTTCGATCCCTAGCACAGACATTCCATGCTGGGAAAACAACTTGGTGTGCTCAGGATCTGCTTAGTTGACTAACACTCAGCAGCTACAGCACCTACACCTGTTTGCAGGATGCAGCATGCAGGAACACTCTTCTGTGGCACACTGTGTACCAGGCCCAATGCCCGGCCTGTGCTGGACTGCTCACCACCTGTGAGCGTCCTCAATCCGCGTCACAAGACTCAAAAAAGAGGTAGTGGGCTCTAAACCTTTTCGAAAACACACTATTTCAGATTACAAGGGCATGCCAGGGAGATTTTTTAAACACTCAGATTTCACACATAGTTGGGCAAACAGCTCAGTTCAGTGTGTTCCTGGTTTCAAGTGACACTTGGTCCGAGTCCCTTGTAAGAGCCAAAGTCCCACAATGAAAAATAAGAAAGGGTAAAAAGAGAGGTGGTGGGAGTAGTGAGGTGATCAGTACTGGAAAAAAGCCAGTTCAAGCACTCATCCTGATCACTCTGGGCTCAGCCAGAAGTCTCTACAACCAAGACCCAACGGACCTGTTACTAGGATACAAGTACGAGCCTCTGGAAGGCCATGTTCAGTGGCTCTTAGACAATCCCTTCCTTAGGACCCGTCACGAGACACCGAAGGCGACACAACTACTTGCACAGTTGAGCAAAGAAAATGTCTGGGACGCTGTCCTGAAGATACCACAACCACAGGCAGTGTCCTGGGGATGGATCCAAACCCACGGTTACTCGCACCAATCACTGTGACCGTGTGGGTAGGGTACCTTCCAAACCTACCGTACAATCCAACCTTAGGGAAAATCAGGGGCCGAAAGGGCAGGCCCCTCGGCAAGGGACGCTCTCAGCAGGGCCCCGCAGGATGCTCGGCCAGCGGCCGCGCCGGGTCGGTGCTCACGAGGCCCCTCCCGCGGCCCTTCGCGGCCCGGCGTGCCCCGCGGCTCCGGCCTGGAGTCCTGCAGGGCGTGCGCGCGCCGAAACGGGGGATGGCACGACGGAGGGGCCCCGCGCGGGCGGTACCTGCGGGTCGATGTCGCCCACCGCGTAGTACTTGACCTCGCGGAACAGATCCTCCGGAACTTCGGGCGCCGGCTCCGACATGATCGCGGCGGCGCGGCGGCGCCCGGCCCCGCGTCACCCGGCCCGCCGCGCCCAGCGCCCGCAGCGACGCCAACTGCTTGGCCGCACAGCCCGGCCCGCAGCCGCCGCTGCACTCCGACCGGCGCCCCCGCCCGCCCGAGGCCCGGAGCGCGGGAGCAGCGCGCGCCCTAAGGCACGTACCACCGCACCGGGCAGGCAGGGGAGCACGTGGCTCTACCCACTCCCGTGCGCCAAACAACGCCTCTTCCACGGCTGCCCCGGGTCCCAGGGCCAATATGGTGTAGTATTTCGAACATCCCATGGCAACCCCGCGCCTGCCAAGTTCCCAAGACCGAGAACAGAGGACATGGAAAGCCTGTATCCCCTACGTAGCCGCGGTGGACCAGTCAGGGGGCGGGGCCTGGGCGGGGCTCCCGTCACCCCGCGCGGCCACCCGGCAGCGCATGCGCGAAGGGGCGGGGCCTCCTCGCGAAGGACGACTGGCCGAACTCCCCGAGCGGGACTCTGGTGTCGCCGCCACTCCTGCCGGGAAGTGCACGTTCAAGCTTAGGGCCAGGCGGATCCTGACTAATGGTCGGTTTCTTTCGTCCGCTCCTTTCGCGTCTGCTGCAGCAGTCAGCCGGGAACAAAGCTTTGGCGAGGCGCTTAAGACCCAGGTAGAGATGGCGACATGGCTCAGCAGGCAAAAAGCACCTGCCGCCGAGCTGAGTTCGATCCCCGGGACCCACGTGGCAGAAAGCGAGAACCGACTCCTGCAAGTTGTTCTTTGACCTTCACACGCACACCGTGGCACACACATACTAAATAAATGTAAATTGTTCTTTGTGTTGGAGTATTCCCGACATATATTATAGCCTGGTACCCACAGCGGTCAGAAGAGGGCTTTCAAATCCCCTGGAACTGGAGTTACCTTGTGGGTACTGAAAACGAAACTTATAGCCAAAAGGCTGCAAGAGCACCAAGTGTTGTTAACTGCTGAGCCATCCAGCTCTCAGGCAATTAGCTTTTAAAGGTAAACAGCAAAATCCATAATAATTATCTTCACGGGTGTCTATATTGTGTTGTGCAGAGTTACAGGAAACAATGTCAAGTTGAAACTTTTGTTGGGTTTTCACAGAATGACACGTCCTACCACTGGTGGCGATACTGTTTATTAATCGAGCTTTTTGTTTTCTGTTACCTCCTTGCAGATTAAGTATTGATGTCCTTAGAATTTTCTCAAACGAATAAAAGGAGCCAGGCCATTTTGTTTGATAACCTTCAGAGAATAAGTTTCCTGCTTACTGCTTATACTATCTCAGTAAATTATATAATATAATATTTATATTATATTATATTAATTACTCTCAAAAAGTTAAGTAACTAAGTTGAGTAAAATATGCAAGTGTGAAGGGCTGGAGAGACAGATGGCTCAGCAGTTAAGAACACTTGTTCTGCCGGGCGGTGGTGGGCGGCGCACGCCTTTAATCCCAGTGCTTGGGAGGCAGAGGCAGGCGGATCTCTGTGAGTTCGAGACCAGCCTGGTCTACAAGAGCTAGTTCCAGGACAGGCTCCAAAACCACAGAGAACCCCTGTCTCAAAAAACCAAAAAGAAAAAAAAGAACACTTGTTCTATCAGAGGACCCGACTTTGGTTCCTAGTGTCCACATGGCAGCTCACAACCACCTGGAACTCCAGTTCCACGAACTCCGGTGCCCTTCTGGCCTCTGAAAACACTGCAAGCAGAGGGTGCACAAACATATAGGCAAAAAAATGAAAAATGAAGGGAGTGCTGGAAATAGTAGACCCCATCTACAGTGGGAAACCAAAGTAGGTTATTGGAATAGTATTTGCCAAGGCTGCTCTTTGGAAGTCAAAGTGTGTGTGTGTGTGTACATGTGTTTCTATGTTATGAATGGTATATGTGCATGGGAACTTCCAGTTGTCTATACCTCCAGATCCAGGACATCTGAGGCTGTCTTCTGGCCTCTAAGATCACCAGGCATGCAGATGACACACATACAAATCTTGTAGGCAAACATAAAATAAAAATAAATCGCCTGGCAGGGGTGGCACAACCCTTTAATCCCAGCATTCGGGAGACAGAGGCAGGCAGATCTCTGAGTTCCAGGCCAGCCTGGTCTACAGAGTAAGTTCCAAAACAGCCAGGGCTACACAGAGAAATCCTGTCTTGAAAAATAAAAACATAAAATAAAAATCTTTAGCGGATTAAAAATGCACTTGAATATTGTACACAGTGGTTTCATTTTGTTCAGTTTGGCTGGCTGTGCACCCCTTAAAGTTAAGTATTATCAAATTCAGTTTAGATTTATAGGACTACAGCTAGCTTCTTAGTGCATCATGACTCCATTTGGGGGTCAAAAAAGAATTGACATCAGTAGGTTTCCTTTTTTTTTTCAAGACAGGGTTTCTCTGTGGTTTTGGAGCCTGTCCTGGAACTAGCTCTTATAGACCAGGCTGGTCTCGAACTCACAGAGATCCGCCTGCCTCTGCCTCCCGAGTGCTGGGATTAAAGGCCTGCGCCACCACCGCCCGGCAGAATGCCCAGTCTTAACTTGGTTTATTTCTAGCAAGCTTTTCTAACTTAAATTATCCTGTCTACCTTTTCCCTCTGGGCTTTTACCTTTTTCTATTTCTGTATCTCTTTCTTTACTTCTTACTCAGTGACTTGCTGTAAAAGTGGGTTGCTACCCCCTGGAGTCCTCCTCTGCTTCTCTGCTTTTCCATCTTTTCTCCCCAAATTTCTCCTCCTATTTATTCTCTCTGCCTGCCAGCCCCACCTATCCTTTGTCCTGTCTTGCTATTGGGCATTCAGCTCTTTATTAGACCAATTGGAAGTTTTAGACAGACACAGTAATACAGCTTCACAGAGTTAAACACATTCCATGTTCTAATGTGGTCTCAGCTTGGGGTGGAAACATGAAGTAGGCAGCACAGGCAACTGGGAAAAGCTGCCGTAGGACTCGGATGCTATCTGATGGTGTTCTTAGCCTTCAGTTGGTGGGAGATGATTTGTCTAAGGGCCGGGTATGGAGGAGGGTATTAAAGGGGCTAACAACTGGTCCAGGGTACTAGGCTCTGGGTTTGCACATTCCAACTCCGCAATCACTGACCTTTCTAATCAGCCTAGGAGCAGGGCAGAGGATCGGCTCTTTCCAGGACTTTTGGTCACACCTCCAACTGCAGCCTGTGGCCTGATATTCCCAAGGCAAATCAATTTCCTTCACCTAGACAAAGGAGTAAAGATCTTATCATTTCCAGTATCACAGAAAGATGACTAGAAAGAGGCCCAGAGAATTCTAACTGACTTGCCGCCAGCCAGAGGGGCCAGCACAGTTTGAGTTAAACTTTTCTTTTTAGATGTATTTGGACATATCTCATTCTTTTGAGAAATCTAAGACAAAGAAAGGGGTTTTTTTTATTCCATAAATAATGGAAGTATAAGTGAGACAAATGCTTGAAAAATATTTTTATAATAGGAAATCTCTCTGGGCTGAGAGGAGTCCACTGTGTCATTGCAGCTGACAGAGACACCTCTCTCCAAATCGGTTGAGATGAGAGAGAGACAATTGCCAGGTCGAAACTCAAAACTTCCTGATTCTAATGTCTGGTGTCAATTTTAATTTTCTGATTTAATTAGTTTCCTAATTAGAAGGGTTAATTTAATTAACCTCATTATTTACTATATATTTAATGATTTCGCCTCTGGAGGGATTTACTTCATTTTCAATAATTGGAAAGCTCATAACGAGAGGGAATATTGGCATATCTTACACTTATTATTTTAGGATGAGCATCCGGCCTAGGACAAAAGGGAGGGAATTTCAGGTGAGGGATCAGATGCAGCCAAAAAGATGGCTTCCCATTAGTTTGGAAACAAGACATCTATAAAACTTGAACTGAGGCTCAATTGTTACTACCAGTTCAGAGTTCAACCGAGCACATCAGTTACAGCCAAAGAAACCTCATACCATAGAATCCTCTATTACAAGAATCAGCTTTCAGCCAGGCTTGATGGCATATACCTTTAGTCCCAGTTTGTAGACGTATGAGTTTGAGGCCAGCTGGTCTACTTAGGAAGTCCCAGGCCAGCCAGGTTTACACAATGAGACCCTGTCATCTCTTCCCACTCTCTGTCACTCACCCTGCCACAGTGCCTCTCTCTTGGTTCTGCACATTACAAATGCTCTCTTCCTATCAGACTGCAACCCTGGACTTTCTCCAGCCACACCCAGAAACGCCCCACTCCTGGCTTGGTTCTCTCTGAAAGAAGCTAGTGTCACCTCCTCTTATTCAAATGTCCCTGTTTGATGACACCTCAGATGTTGACCCCTCTTCTTCTGCACACAAGGGGATGTGAACTAATGATACAGTGGCACCCACAGCATGGATCAAGGATGACTCACCCAGCCCAGTCATCTCAGCTACTAGCATGGCTAGTGTGATGTGTGGTACCTGATATCTGGGGAACGGGGGGGGGGGGGGGGGGGGGGGG